GGAGCTTTCCGGCGCCACACCGCCGCCCTCCCTGGGGGTACAAGCAGAGTTCGTCGGAGGGATTACGTGTGTACGTGTCCATACACACATATATATATATATATATATAGACAGACATGTATTTATTCACATATAACTATAACTATGCATGAATGTATGTATGCATGCATGCATGTAGGTTTGTATACACAGAAAATTCGATGTGTGTGTATTTATTCCTCTCCCTATATTTTGCAAGCCCGGGGAGGGGGGGAACAAAACCCTCCCCCCCCCAAACACTGGACCCCCGGGATCTGGGGTTCTTGGGCTCCCTTGGACGTCCTTAGAAAAGGTCACCCGGCTTTCCGGGTCTCCACAAACGCCTTGCCAGCAGACCCGGAGCGATCCGAGGGGTCATCAGAAAGGCTCAAGGGAGGCCTCAGACAGTACAAGAGCGCTCCAAGAGGGACTATATATATATATATATATATATATAGATATAAATACACATTCGTGGCGTAAGGATCGAGGGATGATCGAGGATCGAGATTCTTGGAACTCTGGGCTTCGGGGAGGCCTCTCGTCGCCACGGTTGGATCCCCCTTCGGAAGTCTGGCCAGGGCGCGCGCCCCGGGAGGGGCAGGGCTCCTGTTTGCCCCCTTAGTCTCAGACCCCCGGGGGTGGACAGAACCCCCAACAGTGACACGTCGATTAGTGAATGGTCCGTTTTCGGTTCTCGAGAGGGCGCCGTGGCCGTCATTTTCCAGGCTTGCGCCCGCCAGGTTTGGGCCTCAGGTCGTTTCCACTAAACCACGTTTTGCTAAAGGGGGGTCTGTCCATCCCCGAGACCCCTCGCATCGCGCAAACATCACGGCAGAAGGTATCTGACAATTCTCGGTTTCCAGGGGTCCCCACCAGGCCCCAGGGCGGTCCAGCAACGATCTGGGATGAAAAGCCAGTCCCCGTGAAGGGGGTCCGGATCTCGAGGGGTCCGCGTTGTAAAGGGCAAGACGTCGGGGGCTTGGAGAGGGAGGATTCGCGGATCGAGGGCGACGTAGTCGTTTCGGAGGTTTTGGCAAGTTTCTGGAGGTTCTCGTCGCCATGGCTGCACGCGGCTCGAACACTGACCACGATGGACCCCAGGAGGGGTCCAGGGATCGGATTTGAACGGACTTTGTTGACAGCCCCTCGAGTATGGAAGTTCCTCGCGCATCGAAGTCATTCCCCACATTCTGAGTGGGGTTATGGTTTTCTTCCCTCCCGCGTCCCAGCCGCGAACCTCACACAGCGTACCTCCCCCCGCTCCTTCTCCTTCTCACCTGCACTCGCGCGCGCATCAGACACAATCGAACATGCAGTCGCACGCGCATGCAACGAGCACGCGCACGCAGCACACATACACACATCACACGTACAGCACACATACAGCACACATAGACACTGTACACATACACACCACACACCATACATACACGCATCTGCACCCACGCGCACACACACACCAATCGACGCTAGTGCAGACCTGGTGCTTTGATTGCATTGAACACCCCAGACGTATGTGCCGCATACTAGGCACCCACATGTGATACACGTCCACTTTAAGCCGCTCGCGCAGCATATACAACCGCATCATACATACGCGTAGGATTCGGATGACGTGGCAGGCGTGGCACTGTCTCGACACTAGAGAGGGTGCGCAGGGGGTGGTCCCCTAGCGTGACCTCTATGCGTGCCAGGGTGGGAAAGCGTGGCAGGCGTGGCACTTCCTCGACACCGGTGGGGGTGCGGTCTCTATCCGCGCCTGGGTCGCATGGTGTGGCAGGCGTGGCGTCCACGCCAGAAGGCGTGTGCAGGGGGTGGTCCCTGCGCGCGGTCTCTATCCACGCCGGGGTCGAACGGCGTGGTAGGCGTGGCATTCACTCAACACTAGAGCGGGTGCGCAGGGGGCGGTCCCTGCGCGCGGTTTCTATCCACGCTAGGTTCGCAGGGCGTGGCAGGCGTGGTATTTCTTCGACACCAGAGGAGATGCGCAGGCATTGTTTCCTGAGCGCGTTCTCTATCCACGCCGGGGGCGCAGGTCGTGGCAGGCGTGGCACTTCCTCGACACCAGAGGGGGTGCGCAGGGGGTTGTCCCTCATCCTGGTCTCTATCCACGCTAGGGTCGCAGGGCGTGGCAGGCGTGTCATGTCCTCCAGGATTCCAGAATGATCCCTGAAGGATTCCTGATTCCTGCGGGTTCTTGCGGTTTCCCGAAAGCTTTCCAAAGATGTTTGCATGCTTCCTGAGAGATACTTCGGCGTCCTGTGGATGCCTGACGGTGCCTGAAGAATTCCCGAGGCTTCCAGTCGGATTCCATCCTGGAGGATCGTGAGGATCCCTGGCGATTCTTGGAGGTTCCTGCTGCGGACCCGTGAAGATTAATGAGGAACGCGTACTGATTCTTGAAGGGTTCCTGCGGATTCCTGCCAGTACCTCCAGGACTTCTGAAGATCCTGCGGGGTGCATGAGGGATTCTTGAGGATGTTCGGTGGGCTCGTGGTAGATTTTTGAAAATTCGTGAACAATTTCTAGCGGTTCCTGGTGGATGCGTGGGTCCCTGAGGATTCCCGAGGATTCCTGCTGCGGGTTTCTGACAGTTTTGGGGGAACGCAGCATGCTCCCTTAGAGGTTCATGGGGGTTCCTGAAGGATCCCGGAAGATTCGTGCAGGATACCTCGCGAATTCCAGAGGGTTCTGGCGGATTCCCCGTGGATATCTTGCAGTTTTTAAAGGATGTCTGGCGATTCCTGGACGATTCGTGAGAATCCTTCGGGATTCTGGAGGACTCCTGCTACGCACTCCCGAAGATTCTGGAGGAATGCAGAGTGACTTTTGGAGGGTTCCTGAGGACTTCGGCCGATTCCTGAACGAACGATTCTTGCAAATACTCGCAGGATGCTGGAATGATTCCTGAGGATTCTTGCGGGCCCCTGATTCCTGTGAATGCGCTCCCCCACCAAGGAAATTTCATGGGGTGCTAGCGATGCCGCTCGGCGGGGTGCTCGGCGGCGGGTCATTCATGGGGTGCTCGGGATCTCGGGGGGGGGATCGATAATTTGCTCCCACGGTCAAGCCAGGATGCTCTGTTGAGCCCAGCCGAGTGAGGTCCGACACGCGTGCAGGGCGGCCGAGCTGGGCGCGTCTGGTCGGGTGGGCCGGGTCGGGTGGGCTGGCGGTTCGGGCCGGGGGGCATCAACGTGTAAGGCTCTGTCGAGGTTGGTCTCGTGGGTCGACGCGAACCGGCGGGGCGGGCTGGGTCGGGGAGACAGCAAAGTGTAGGGCTTCATCGAGACTGGTCAGGGGAGGCAGGGCGAATGGGCGAAGGGCGTCAAGCGAGCGGGACATGACAGTGCAGGGCCCTATCGCGTCCAGTCGGGCGGCGCGGGTCGGGCAGGGCGGGCGAAATATGAAGTATTAAGTTGTAGGGCTTGGTTGAGCGTGGTCGAGTGGGGCGGGATAAAGGGTTGGGGCTGGTCTGGCGGGTGGGACCTTCAAGTGTAAGGTTTTATTGAGTCTGGTTGAGTGCGGTAGGGCGAACCGGGGGGAATGGTGGAGGTCTGGCCCTGTCGAGTCCGGTCGGGCGTGCCGGGGCGAGTGGGTCAAGCGGGCCAGGCGGGTCACAAACATGTTTTGTGGGGCCGTATCGCGTCTTGTCGGGCCAGGTGGGTCAGGCGGGCGAAACAGAAAGGCGGTGCCCTGCGGGGTTTCTGCTATGGTTTGGGGCTCGCGGCTTTCCCAATGGTTGTGAGGACGTGGTTCTGGAGGGTCGGGGGCGCGTCCGAGGCCCCACAGGCATGGCAGGCCTCACTGGCCCCAGAGTCTCCACAGGCCCCAGAGGTCGCTCTGGCCCCAGAGGCCTCCCAAGCCTCAGAGATCTCACAGTCCTTATTCCATAAGAGGCCTGACGAGTCCCCCCGGCCCCAGGGGCCCTATCTGCCCATGATTCCATGGGCCCACTGGACTTCCCAGATCGACATATTGTCAATGAAACTGCTCACGGGTTTTTCAAGTTTTCCATGTGGGAAGTTATGGATTTTACAAATGCACTATGATCCTTTTATTTGGGAAGTCCCATATTGAAGTTGTCAAGTCTTCAATCTTTCAATCCTGCGAGTGCGGGATTGAAGTTTTCAAGTCCAGACTTCGGGCCGAATCTGGAGCTTCACAACTCGAGTGAACGCACATGCCACGCGCGCGCACCAGACGCAGGTCGCGCGCTTATCATGACTTAATATTTCGGCGCTCATCCATCGCCCCCATGTTGGAGACTCATTGGGCGCGTGAAGACACGTGACAGACGCACTCGTGCCGAACGAATGCTCGATGCCCCCCCTCCGCGCGCAAGCATTGCACGTGTGCAGATTCCGGCGTCGTCATGTCGGATAACCATATCTGGTGCATCAGCGCCCGCATGGGTGGAAGCATTCACCAATTGCGCGCGCGCCAGACTCCTACTCGATACCCCCCCTCGTGCATGCATCTGTTTGTGCGTATGGATCAGTGGCATCTGCTGCTCGAGCCCCATCTGGTTGGTGACTACAAGCCCGACAGCACAAAGTCGGGCTGCAGCCCTTGCCATGCATAAGCATGCGATATCAACGTGCAATGGGGTCGCGGTCCCACGCTGTAGTTCGGGGATGAAGGATCAATTCGTCCTCTTCCTGCTCCTCCAGCTCCTCCTCCATCTCGCGATCCTCCTTCTCCTTCTCATTATCCCTCTTCCCGCCTCCTGCTTCCTCCTGCTCTTTCTACCTGCCTCTCCCCATGAATGTTAAGCACGCTGCTTCGCTACCCGTGATGTCTTGCAACGCTCTCTTTCTTGATTCGGATTGCGCTCCATAGCGCGCAGCCAGCTTTTGCATCTTGTACATTGCATCCCTCTGTCATCCTCCACTTTAATATTTGTTGGCTCGAGATTGTCGGTTAAGTAAGTGGCGGCATATCTTCTACACCTACACGTACCTTTCAATTTGGTGGCTGTCATGTCGTTCCGTACGACGTTGCTGGCGGTGTTGCCCTCATCTTGCGCTGCCATCTCGCACAAACATGCGGCGTCCGCCCGCGATGTTGGCTTCCTGGACGAGGTCACAGAGGATGAGCTCATGTATGAGCTCATGTCAGGTCTACCAGGCTACCTGGAGACTGACGGGGACGACTGCAAGATGGCGGAGCAGGGGAGCCCGTGCTACGAAGATGTGACCTGGCTCCAGACGAAAGGCTTCGAGAAGCACCCGGAGTGGTACCCAGGCTACACCGCTAGGTCCAGCTTCGAGGAGGTGCAGGACATGCTCTACCGCCTCGGCAAGGCGCAGTGCCCCAAGCCTTGCTTCTCGAAGGTGCTGGATGTGGACCACGGGGCCGAGTCCACCAACCTTGTGCTGAGCTCGGGCTGCGTGGATGCGGTCGAGGGTGATCTGTGTTACCGTACCGTCAGGTGGCTGAAAAGGACGGGCCTCGAGCAGCACCCCGACTGGTTCCCTACCCTCGAGGCCGGCTCCAGCACGGCTGCCATACAGGCCGAGCTGCACCGCCAGGGCAAGTCCCAGTGCCCCAAGCCCTGCGAGCCCGTCGAGGCCCCGTCGTACCACGCCCTGAGCGCCAGGAAGTCCGGCCTCCGGGCGCGCGTGGGGTCGGAGGGTGCGGCCAGCTGGATGTGGGACTTCCCCAAGGAGGAGGTGGTCCCGACCACGGAGGCTCGGGGGCGACGATGGGGGCGAATAGCCCAGGGGAAAGCAGATCGTGCATCCAAGGGGGATGATGATCCAGGCCCTTCGGCGAGGCTCCTGGGTGCACGCGTGTAATGCTCTCCCCTGGGCTGTTCGCCCCGATCGTCGCCTCCGAAAGGCGGGCAGGGCGGTGATGCAGTGCCTCCGGAAGTTGCTGCACGTGACCCCGGAGAACTTCGACGACCTCAGGGCGGAGTGCGAGGGCCTCGTGCCAGCAGACGGCGCCACACAGCGTGACGCGCTGGTGAAGGAATCCGTGAGGTTTATCTCGTGGGCCCAGCACCACGTGGTCGACATGAGAATCCAGCGGAAGGCGGAGGAGGACGGCGTGTCGACCGCTTCGGAGGCGGTTAACCCGGCCGCGCAGGCCGAGGTGGGCGAAGATGGTTGCATGAATGCGCTTCGCAACTCGGTGTGCTACACTGCAGTGTCCTACGGCCTTTCGGAGGGGATCAGGAAGCACCCGACCATGTACGAGGGCCTGTCCGAGCATTCCAGCTTCGAGAAAGTCCAGGAGTTCCTGTGGCGCAACAACCGGCACGGCTGCACGAAGCCTTGTCCCAGGAAGCGGGTGGACATCACCGAGTTCGACAAGCACCCCGAGATGCTCACGTACAAGAAGAGTGTCGCAGACATGAGCATTGACGAAATGACCAGATATATCAATGGCGAGTGGGACGGCTACCAGGCGAAGATGTTCGACAATCGTGATGATGATCCCCTCCCGACAGCCAATCCTAAGCCGGTAGCCGAGGAGACCAACGAGGATAAGAGCGTCCAAGACATGAGCACCGACGAGCTGGCCCGTGTCCTCGACGGCGACATGGTTGCCTACATGCCGAAGGAGGTTGCCAATGACACCGAGCCCGAGAAGGCAGCCAACGACAGCGCAGAGGTGGCCAGTGTCTCCACGGCGAACGATTCCACGCCGCTCTTCGCGGACATCGCCTCGATCAACATGTCGCAGATGTCGGAGGTCGCCAGTGCCGTCGATGTACCCGCGCAGCCGGTTGCCGATGCCCCCACGGTTGACGCCGTGGCAGATGTTCCCGTGGAGCCGGTGGCTGATGTTCCCACGGAGCATGAGACCGCGGAGTAGATGGGGGAAGAGTGTCCAGGCGGAGATCATGGGTCAGAGTGTGAAGGATATTCGTGAAGCTTTGCGCATCCCCGCCAGCCAATCATGAAACGATACCCATGCGAGTTGCCCTGATCAGGGAAGTGTAGGAGCATGGAGTGGGACAACGGGGAGCCAGGGGGAGACAGTTTAAAGGAGGAGACGGAGGAGAACGGAGAAGGAAGCGGAGGAGGCTTATAGAAGAGGGGGGCGTAGGATGAAGAGGCGGACGGAGGATAAGGAAGAGGATGAAGAGGAGGAGAAAGAAGATGATGAAGAGGAGGAGGAGGAGGAGGAGGAGGAGGAGGAGGAGGCGGAGGAGGAGGAGGAGGAGGAGGAGGAGGAGGAGGAGGAGGAGGAGGAGGAGGAGGAGGAGGAGGAGGAGGAGGAGGAGGAGGGGGAGGGGAGGGGGAGGGGGAGGAGGGGGAGGAGGGGAGGAGGAGGAGGAGGAGGAGGAGGAGGAGGAGGAGGAGGAGGAGGAGGAGCAGGGAACACCACCTCAGGCCAGACGGCTTGCTCGCAGTTGACTCCGTGGCCACCCAGGTGCGCACTCCTCAGAGTGCCTCGAGCCCGGCCTCCAGGTCGAGGGCGGCGGCGAGGCGCGCTCCGCCCCAGAGCGACGCCCCGAAGGCGGCGCAGAGCTGGGAGAGGTCGCGGGCGCGGGCGGCCGCGCGGGCCTGCACCTCAGCACCGCCTGCGCGGGCAGCGGCGAGTGCGGCCGTTTCGTGGCGGACCCTGGCATCCCGGAGGCGCCGCTGGAGCTCGGGCCACAGCGGCACGCGAGGCCCGACGCACGCGAGGCCTGGCCTGGCTCCCTCCCGCAGCATGCTCCAGCGCCCGCATGTGGGTCATGGCCCGTCCAGGCCAGTTCAGAGACGTGCTCGGCAGTCTCGATCCTGGTGAAGCCGTGCTGCGCGCGCACGGCGTCGGCCAGCCTCGTCTCGATCGCAACCACGTCGTCCGCCGCCGTCGCGAGGTCGGCGTGGGCCTGAACGTCACCACGGCCTCCGCGGGCAGCAGCGAGCGCGGCCGGGCCGACACGGCCCCCTGGCCTCCCGGAGGCGCCGCTGGAGCTCGGCCACGGCGGCCCGCGAGGCTCGGGCCGAGCGCCCCCGACGCCGCGCGCGAGGCCTGGCCTATGGCCCCCGCCCGCAGCCTGCTCCAGCACCTCCCTGGTGGGCCACGGCCCGACCAGGCCGGCGATCCTCTGAGAGGCGCGCGGCGGTGGCCGGCCGTGGTGGTGCTGTCGCCCATGGACGAACAACACACACCCATACCCATAGGGAGGTCGGAGGGAGAGGGACTGGCTATGGGTATGGGTGCGGGTTGTCGGACCCCCGGGGAGGCTCCCGTGCGAGCGGGGACCCCCCTCCGACAACACGCACCCATGGCTCACTCCGTCCGCCCCTATGGGTATGGGTGCGTGATGAACGTTCGTCAGCGCCTGGCAGACGGGCTGCGCTGAAATGCCCCCGCAGGGCATCCTCACCAGGCGTCGCGCGGAGCCGCTCGGCTTTTCGGCCAGGCGGTCCGCGAGCTTCCGGCCCGCCGCCACGGCTTGTCCGAAGGCGCAGGCCTCCGTAAAGGGGTCGTGATGGAACCGAACAACTGGTGCCAACTCCAGCGGCTCCTCCGCGAGGTCCTGCAGGTCGTGCTCCTCCTCGGCGATCCCATCGGACACGAACCTCGGCACGACCGCGTTGCACTCCCTGCCGCCGCGCTGCCAGGCGTTCAGCTACCGAGGCGACGCTGTCGCGATCCGCCGTCACGTTGAAGACGTGGGATGCCGCGTGGCGCCTACCAGCGGGTCCACCTCATCGTCGAGCTTGGCCTTCAGCACTGGGACAATGAGTTGCACCCTCTGATGGACCTCGTCGGTCAGCGGTTCCCTGATGTTCGCCAGCTCCTTCTCTAGAGCCTTAATCTGGGACCGCGCGACCTCCAGCTGGCAGGTGAGGCGCCGAATCTCGCCATCTGCGGACTCGCGCGCACGCTGCACCGCCGCCGCGCGAGCCGCCCGCTTGCTGCTCGGGATCATCGTCTGCGGCCCCTCCCGCGCCAGATCGCCCGCCGCCATACCGCCCCCCGCCGCAGGCGCCCCACAGGTTTGAGGCTGGCTTGAGCCAAAATGGCTACGGAGGAGTGCGGGGAACAGGAAGAGGAAGAGCATGAGGAAGGAAGGGGGATGATGATGAGGAGGACGAGGAGGAGGAGAAGGAGGAGCAGGAGACGGGAGGAAGAGGCGGAGGAGGAAGAAGGGGAGGAGGAAGAGGAGGGAGATGTGGAAGGAAGGCGGTGACGAGGACGACGACGAACGACGACAGGAGTCAACCATAAATGCCTTTGCGGCTCCTGCGCTCTGGGAGCCTCTCGGAGGCCTCTCGGAGCCCTCTTGGGGCCCTCGTGGAGCCCTCTGGGGGGGCTCCCCTGAGCAGCCCTTTTTGGGAGATCCCTTTTGGGGCCCTCTTGGGAGCGCCTCGGGCGCCCCCCCCCCCCCCCCCCCGGGACCATGTTGGAGGACATCCATGACGGAGGGGGGATCCCGATTTGCCCCCCCCCCCCCCCGTCGGAGCCCGACGCGTTGCCTCTTGGAGCCCTCTTGGAGCGCTCTGGGGGCGCACCTCGGCGCTCCGGGGGCCGCCTGGAAGCCTCTCCGAGCCCCTTCTTGCGGCTTTCTGTCTGGGTGATCTTGGGGGCCACCTCGAGACTTCGGACGCCCTTCGGACACAAAAAGGCGAGAACCACGCGCATACATTACCAAGAAACCACATGTGTCTGAGTTAGTTTGGTCTCTCGGCGGCGTCCTCCGTGGGAGTCTCCGAGGCCACCTGGAGCCGTCTTGGTGCCTCTTCGAGGCATGCTGCAGGCTATCTTAACCCATCCTGGGCCAGATCGCGCCATGCTGGAGGCCATCCTAAGGCGTCTGGAGCAGGTTTGAGGCCACCTTGGTCCAAGCGTCTCCCACGGATGCCCACGAGAGGCCAACAGCTTTCAACACAAACGCACGCATCCCTTAGGGGGTCGGGCTTTGGCTTCTCCCCGCCCCAGCATAAACAATTCCAAGTGGGGAGAACCACCCCGACCCCATGCTTGGCGTTTGCTAAACGGCCTTGGGCGTTTACTGAACAGCCCTGCCCTGTTCGATTCCTTCTTCTGGTGTGTTTGCGAAACGCCTTTGCTTGTCGGGGTGCTTATCATGAGGGTGGCTGTTCTGCTCACTACCATTGCCTCTTGCTGCCCTCTTGGGGCGGTCTTGTGGCGGTCTTGGGCGCTCCGTGGGCCGTCTTGTAGCCTTCACGGGCTCACCCTGCGGCTCTCTTCGGCGATCCTGGCGCCGCCTGTAGGGCCTCAGAAGCCCAGCGGAGGCGAAACGCCGAGAAGAAGCAAACGCATGGCGAAAGCCCATTGAATGGTTTTGTTCTCTTGTGGGCGTCCTTTGGGGGCTCCCCTGGCCACTTGGAGTCGTCTTCGGACCTCGTTGAGTCGTGCTCCTGAATCTCGTGCCGTCTTCGAGGCCATCTTGGGCTATCTGAGGGCCTCTTGGAGCCATCTTAGGCCATCTTAGACGCTGCTATGGGTCGCCCCCCCTCCCCTGTCCAGAGCCAGGGTAGGGGGTAGGAGGAGGATCAAGCTACCCCAAGCCGCAAGCCGTGTCGCTCACTCCCGCCCACCCTCCCACTACAGAAGTAACACTCGAGTCTCAGCACAGGCAGGGGCCGCCATCGACAACCACGGGGAACCAATGCAGACGCCTGCCAGGTGCGGGGTGCCCGCGAGGTGCGCCGCACGTGCCAGATGCCCTACGCGCACAAGGTGCGCCACGTCGGGCAATGTGTCGGCCGCCGCCCCAACATTCCCGCCCCAAACAACAACGGAACGTGACGGCGGGTTTGCGAGCATTGTGCACTGTTTGCGGGCGTCGGCCTGCAAACAAGGCACCCTGCACGGATCACGTAGTACGCCGTCCCTCGCGCCATCCTTGGCAAAGTTACCTTTTCATGCTCCGTTGGAGGGGATGGTGGGCCTGCACACAGCAGGCAACATGCCCCCCCCCCCCGCCGCCCTGGTCAAACAATCATGCAAATTGATCGCGGGGCCTCCGCGCATGATGTAGATCTTGGTACTTTGAAAGAGGTGCGCAGCAGGCAATATGCAGACACCGCCGGTACCCGGGTAACAGCAGCCCAATGCAAAAAGTGATCGCGGGGCGTCCGCGCCTGATCCAGATGTTGGAGCAACGTGCACTTTGGGTTGTGCTTTGCAAGGAATGGCTGGGGGGCGGGGTGGCATGGTCTCCGGTTTGTCGCCGGTCGGGTGGGAAAGGGGGCGTACATCAATAAGCCGCAATGGTCTGGGCACCCCTCCCAGACGCAAACTGTTTGCCTCACGCCCGTCCACCCTCCCAACACATAGTAGTACCCGAGTCGCAGCATATTCAGCGGTCGTCTTTGGATGGCTAGCTACTGGGAACCAGTACAGACCCCAGGTGCGCGATGCTGGGGCGTGGTGCGCCACGCGTGCCAGGCGCGCCACGCGCCGCAGGCGCACCAGGCGCCCCTGGGGCCCAAGCGTGCTAGGCACGCCTATTGCGCCAGATGCGCCACGTACTCCACGTGTGCCAAGTGTGTCGCACGCTCGAGCTGTGCCAGGTGCGCCACGTTCGGCGCACGCGCAGGGTGCGCCAGGTGCCCTCTCACACCGGGAAACATGCCGACCCGCATCATTCTTGTCGAAAGCAAATGCACACTCGCTGCGGGGTGGCGATACTGGTGTCTGGTAGCCATGCACCCCGCATGCAATATGCCAGCACCTCCGCCGTCCCTGTCAAAAACCAGTGCAAAGTGATCGAGGGGTGCACGCGCATGATCCAGATGTAGCCGCGAAGGACATCGTAGTTGTTTTTTGGACAGGGATGGTGGCCCTGTGCGCAACAGGCAATCTGCGGGCACCCCCGCCGTCCTTGTCAAGAACAATGCGACGTG